GAGGTATTGCCTCTTAGAGGCGTCCGAGGGGGGTGGTATGTAATTGTCCCAGGTCACTGGGTGGGGGCTTGAGCCAGTTTTGCATTGTGTTATTGAAACGGAACCTCTAGATACTGAACCTGGCCCTTGTTGCTGCCAACTCTGATGGGCAGAAGGATTACATTTATAAACAAATCCTTTCTGAGTGATGCAAGCTGACTTTCATGACTCAAGGCTCAGAAATACTAAGGCTACATGGTAAATGTGTGTCAATAAAGACTTTGTACTCTAAATGCTGATTATGGCCTTGGTCCTGAAAACACTTATGCACCTGAATAACTTTGCCCATGTGAGTAGTCCCTCTGAAGTCCTCTTTCATCCATATAGCCAGCGGGAGTGGGAAGGTGCCAGTGAGAATTTTGCGTGTGTGTGGTGTATTAGGGCTCAGTCCTTCAATGTGTTGTGCCAAGAGCAATGCTGCTGTGGGTACTATGTACACTTTGATAGAGGCTGATCACCTCAAAGGTTCAGGCCCTAATAAATGACAGACTGAAATCCCTCCTTGCACACCCAAAACTCCCAGGATCCCCCTAAGAATCCAAGTCTGTAAACACACGTGAGCAAGGGTGCTCAGATGGGAGGGAGGTTTCCAAAACTGAGTCCTGTACAACAATGACTTCAAAAGAGCCCAGTATGCACCTGACCAGGAACACAGTCTGGCTTGTAAATCTGGGGCCCAGTCCTGCAATGTTTATTCACCTGAGCATCCCTGTTGAAATCAAAGAATGACTCTTGCATTCTTGCAAAGAATGACTCTGCAGCCATCTAGCTGCCTCAGCGTTGCCAACTTTCATGAGTCTTGCAATAATTGCTCTTAAAGTGCCAACTTGTGTGAATTGTGTGAATACTAGATCCAGTTGGAAGAATTCTGACTGAACATGTTTTTTGTCAGAATTTGCCAATTTATCAAAACAGAAACCTTCTGCGGGGATTGTTCTATTTTGATGAAGTTCCGACAGAACCCAGGCAGGTGTCAAAACCTGTGTGGTCACTAGGGCCAGATTAAGGTTATGAGGGGCCTAAGGCTAATGGGAGGGAAGGGCCTAAGTATGAATTAAATATTGCAAAAAAAATTATAAAGTCATCAAACATTTATCTACATATGTATTTATATATTATTTATTTATGTAAAATTAACAAGTTTATTCTATTCTCACTATGCTCAATTCTTCAAACAGATACTTCAGAGTAAGAGGTAGCATGAGGGATGCTATGCTGTCCTTCTCTTAGGCCTCCTTCCTCCTAAGTAGTGGATGGCTCATCTGTATGAGGATGAACACTGCAACATTTCCCATCCTGCTCACCTCTTTCAGCCTTGTGCTTCTACCCTCAGCTCTCCACATGGCACAGTGCAAAGCCAAGCCCTGCAGGTATGTGTCCCCCAAGCTATGGCCTCTACACCACATACCCTGTCTCACTCTGACTGCAGTCTGAGAGGCAGCCAGCTTTTATTATGTAAAATAAAACCACTCAGTGTAAAATCCACTGAAGTAGAGGAAGTAGTACTGGGAAAATTACATTGGGTGGCATTGCATTTTAGGCTGTCTTGCTCTGAAAGCTGCCTCCCACTGTTGCACTGGCTGAGGACAATGAATTACTGTTTTCACATTGAACCAAAATATTATTTGTGGGATGATACCCAGTTTGTGTAGTTAATCTCCAGTGATTCATCACATTAGACCATTCTGTCACCAAGCTCTTCCACAATTAGAGATCGAGAGGTCATCTAGTCGGTCCTCTGCACTCATGGCAGGACTAAGTATTATCTATTCTAGAATGTGTGATAAGCAGCTCTGACATGAGGTTTTTAAAGCATGAGTTCTGTGTGAACCAGCCCCCTATGGTTTGCATTTGTTTGTTTTAAGCTTTCTGTAAGAAAAAGGTAACATCTAGAAGTGACACAGATTTTTAGATGGTTGCCCAGTCATCATAATTAGCACTTCTGTACTATGTTAGCTCTTCAAAATCACTGTACAAATATTAAACAAACGTAATCTAAAGGCTTTCAGCTTTTGAATGACTAGCAGTTGACAAAACAGAGCTATTCCCTGTTGTGTTCTCTTCCCCCCCCCCCCGAACAAAAAGACTTACTTGAAAATCAGCATCTTGAAAGAACCATTAAGGAGCTTTCAAAAGAACAATCCAACCAAGGCTGCTGTAGTGATACCCTTGTTACATCAGGTCTAGTGTTTGTTTAAGGCTGGTGTAGAATGAAGGGAGAGTTTCCTGTTTCGTTTGCATGTGTAAATCAAGCAGACCTTGCTTTTTTTTTTTTTTAAAAATGCTCAAAGTTTAGGGGAGGAAAGTGAATGAGATTCTGCTATACCTGGTGTGAAAAAGCAGAAGGGACCAAAATCTATTCTTGTGCAAAAATCTGTTCTCCCTGAAGTCAATAAGGCTACACAGGTGTAACTGTCAGCAGGAATTGGCCTGCATTTTCATTCCTTTCTCAAATCACACACTTCAATGCTTACCCAACATTTTCCACTTGGGAAAGAAGTTAGTTTGAATTGGGGCAGAAAAACGAGGACTAACTTCAGGTTTATTTAGCTTTAAGTATTTGGAATGAAACTAAAAAGAAATCAAATGTGAAGTGCTTTTATGATGGATTGAACTGCTAGAGAACCAGCAAATAGACAGAACCTGCCTTTAGCCTATTCAGCCAGTGTTTCTATCATAGCCTGCTAAGAAGTGGATTTAAAATCCTTGAGGGAGAGGGGAGGGAGAAACGTACAACATTGTGTGTTGAGCTTCCTCCAGTTCTTTTGAAGCCCCTTAAAAGTACAGAGATGCACTGGCCTGTGGAACTAGGCTGAGCATAAGGAAAGAACTTGGTTGCCTGTGCATCCCAATACAGAAAAATACATCCAAGAAAAAAATTGAATTTCTTTGATTTTTAGAACAGTTCAATACAGTATTGAACACAGTGCATCATCAATCTGAAGCCCCTCGATGGAAGGTACTATAAAAGTTAAAGTACTGGTATCCAAAATGGGATGTTTTGTTTTGTTTTCTCTACAAATGTGTGGGAATTCATTACTTATACATGGGAGAAGCAAGAGTTCTGGCTGGAGCTGGACAGAATGTGTGCAGGTTCTGTGCAAGCTTCTCACCCTACCGCTCTGGTACTGCCTCTTACCCCGCCACTCCCTTTCCCTACCACCCCCAGGCACTCAGCAGTTGTCAGAAACGGGACCCAGCACACATAGAAGATGACGGTGATGGGCACTAGGATCCAGGAGGCAGCGTCCTGGAGCTGCCTGCCAGCCTCAGCCCAGGAGAGGGATAGAGGGAGCTTCTTCCCTCCCTGACAGCTAAGCAGAGCTTTGGAGAAATCAGGGGTGGACCCGGGTACTGGGGGTGGGGACAATGCCTGCTCAAACTACACCCAGGGCAGGGCTTCCCATGGTAACCGGATTTTTAGTGTCCGGTCACCAGTGTTAACTGGATACCTGACAGTGTGTTCCTGCAGCACAGGGTGACATTGGCGGGAGGGAGCGGAAGCATCAGGCTGCCTACTGAGCTCCTTCCAAGCCACAGGGGGCTACTTTGCCTTTCCTGGTGGCAGGAGCGCTCCGGCAGGGCTGCGTGAACAAGCTCACTCCCCCTCACCCAGGAGCGCCGCCAGCTTTTCTGCCACCCTAGGCGGCGGAAGGGCCCACCCTGAAATGCCGCCCCCCACAGAGGCAGCGGAAGGTCCCGCCGCCGAAATACCGCTGCGGTCGCTGCCCCCCAAATTGTAGCGCCCTAGGCGACCGCCTAGCTCGCCTAATGGGTTGCGCCGGCCCTGCCCTCACCCAGCCCCGGCCATGCCCCCTGCCTGACCATACCAAAAAGCAAACAAAGAACCGCAAATGTATTATTATATTTAAAACATATTTTAAAGCTGGGCATGACTTGGGGGTGGGGGGAATTTGGGTTACCAGCCCTCCAGGATTTTCCTTGAGTCTCCAGGAATTAAAGATTAATCTTTAATTATAGATTATGTCATGGGATGAAACCTCCAGGAATACGTCCAACCAAAACTGGCAACTGTAGCGGGGAGGGAGGAGGAAGGACACGCCTGACTCATGCTTTTCTAATATTTGGAGCTGGCAATACTGCCAGCTATGTATTTCTGAGTCCCACCCCATGCTTGGATTTAAGTGTCTCTCAAGTATTTAAAACTAGAAAGACTGGGCCCGAAATCAATATTTAGTTTTTCCCTTTCAGCGCAGCATTATATCTGGAGCAATTCCCTGGGAAGGCGTTGCTGGTTCATTCTGTGTCAGCTAAACCCTATTGATTTTGCTATAGTCAAATTAACTGTAGCTTAATTACTCGATATTTAACAGAAATGAAGGTATCACAGATAACAGAGGTCGATGTCTGTTATTACAGCGTTATTACTCTTTGAGGGCAATTGTTATAGGACATTCATTTTGCCCATGACAAAGATGGGCGCCAGCGTGCTCTGTGATTAAAATATTCCCTCAAAAGGGAATAGTGCCCAAATCCAAAATGCCCGACACACCCTCGCCACTGGTGCCCACCTCCAAGATGGCCGCCGCGCGTCCTTCCTCCGCATCAATAATCGGTTGGCTTCCCCCATCCAAGATGGCTGCCTAGCGCGGAGGAAAGCGGCGCTCTAGCCCGGCCAGCTCTGTGGTGGGAGCGGAAGCCTTTTCTTGCCGTGCCTCCCCGCCCTCTGGGTTCTCTATGATTACCCTGCTCTGGTCTCCAATAGGAGGCGTGGGGGAGCTCGGGGCCCCGCCCAGAGCCTGATCAGCTGATGGCTGGCAATGTCTGTTGACAGCAGCAGTCTCCGCGGCAGGACTGGGCGTAAGAGGCCGGCGCGGGGGGAGTGGATCGCTGCGAACCCCCCAAGTCCCCCTGGGCTGGGGGCAGGGCGGTGAGCGGGAGGGACGTTGGGGAGGGAGGACGGAGCCCTGGCAGCAGTCCCAGCCTGGCTCCTGTGTGTCTCACCCTCAGGGCTGTGAGAGGCCTTGGAGGGCCAGGCTCCGAGGGGGGCCCTGCTTGCCCTGGAGAGGGAAGGAGCGGGGAGTAGACAGCAGGGACTTCAGCCCACCCACTGGAGCAATGCAGGAGAGCTGGTGTGTGTGCAGGTGTCTGAGGGGCTGCTGCTGCGGGGGAGGGGGAGGTGGGTCTGGAAATAAAGAGATGGGAGGGGAAGTGATGGCTTGGGACACAGAACAGACAAGAAGGGGGAGAGGGATGGGGCGAGGAGAGAAGGCTGGGGAAAGAGAAAGATAATCGGTAGTGAAACCTGCGAGAGGAAGAACAGATGGGGGGGGGGGGGGGAAGGTAGGAGGGCTGGGGAGAGAAACTCTACTGTTTCCAAGTGAAACTTTTCTCGTGTGTCTTGTGATTATTATTTTTTTTAAATCAGATGTGAATCCAAATGGAGCACTCTGAAGGAGGAGACCAAAACCAGCAGCAACAGCCTTGGGGGAAGCTGATCCGGTTAGGTGCTGATGAAGCAGAGCCCCATGTCTTACTGCTGAAAAGAGAATGGACAATTGGGCGGAAAAAAGGTAAGATGGTGTGTGATTTGCAAGAGGTCGGACTAGGTGATCATAGTGGTCATTCTGGCCTTAAAAATATATGAAGATGGACTCTGAAACATGACAGGTATGTTAGTATCTGGTGTGAGGATAAGGTGGAGGTAGGATAGAAGAGGCCCACCTCAATGCTTGCCACAAAATCCCTTGTTCCCTACTCTAGCATTTCCATGAGAGAAAAGTTGTGCTCTCTCCCTGTCTTTGGCTTTCTTTTTTAACGGGGTTCCTGGTGATATCACAAACACCCAATCCCGTGAATTTGTCTTGGTGATTTCCCTGTTTGTTTCTGTGCAAATAAAAAAGCACTACATTTCAAACCAAGTTTTGTCATGTCATACCCATTTTGTCACCACTCTTTCCTTTAGCTCTTGTGATTTAAAAAAAAAAAAAAAGTGTGTGTGTGTGTGGGGGGAGGATCTGCAATGCAACATTTTCACACTTTAACACACACCTACAATCCAAAAAGCTTTAATTCTTCTGGCTGCATGACGGTTGCTAACATATTAAAATCATTTCTATGAGAGTTGATTTGAAATGCAAGTGTTTCTGTGTTTAAAAGTGTTGACTATTTGATTTTATTTTAAGGGAATTCCATGTTTAAGGCAAATTATTCACTTAACCTTGCACTGTGCCATCTGGCACTAACTTTAGGTTGCCTATCCATCAACTCAGTGCATATCATGTTGTAGCACCCAGCATCAATGAAAGTATATTATAGTTTATAGACTCTATATGGTCAGTCAAAATGGAATTCATGGACCATATTATAGGGAAAATCTAAGTATCTTTTGTCTGTTAAATTCAGTACCATATATTTGTTGCCCTTTTTGATGACTGTATTGCTAAATATGACTAATAACAAACAAGATGCTCACACTAGGAAATCTTCTAGTTGAATTTCAGTGGGCCTACATGGCAGATAAAGATTGACTTTTGCCTGCTGAATTGCTCTCATAATCATGTAACAGTTAGATTACTAAAGTGTTCAGTTAGAAAAATACATAACCAAAATTTGCCATCTACTCCTCAGCAAAATATTGTTGGCACCATTATCCTATTAGAAAAATATGTGGGTTCTGGAAAAACTCATTTAGTTCATGCTGTTCCCCTCTTCTTCCTGGCCCTTACACTATATTCCAAGAGCCGCAAAGAGTAGATGGGGTACACCAGTGCGGAAGTGCTGAACTACTTCTGAGTGAAACTACGGCGTTCTAGTCACTTTCAGCAAGAATCACACGATCATGAAGTTGTGCAGCACAAGTTCTACTCTGTAGCTATTAGTTGTCCCATGGGCATCAGTTGTGGAAAAATAGCGGTAAACTATTATCAGGGGGTGTGGTGGGTGACTTATTTATTTCTAGATCTACTACACCCAGATGTCTCTCTGCCCTGTCTAGGGAGGATTGAATGTGCTGGGAAGTAATCCAGGACCAGGCTATGAATGGGAGGATATGAATCATGTTCCTTATTATGGCCCCTCTTACAAGGGAAGTGTTGTTGCAAGATGGAATAGTGTCTTATGTGTGAAGCCTTGAATATGGCTGGGAAGGAGGGATTAAGATAGTGTCAAAATGGTGATGGTTGCTCAGAACCCTAGAATGGGTGGGCAGGTTCCCATCACCCCCCAAATCATTAATACTCCTGCCTAATGGCAATGAACTGCACTAGATTTTAAATTTTCTGTCTTTAATAATCTAAAGATGGTGCTAACACACGTAAGAAAATCTTGTTTTTAAAAGAAGAGTTTTAAGTGGACTGATCAGTCTCTGTGATGGGATCTGCCTATGTAAATATTCATGGGATATTTATAAACACATTGATCATAAACATTTTCTTTTTAAGGTTGTGACTTGTCCTTTCCTGGCAACAAACTGGTGTCTGGAGATCACTGTAAGATTACAGTGGATGAAGAATCTGGACAAGTATCATTGGAGGATACCAGGTTAGCCCTGCTTTAAACTTTTATTACTGGTTGCTGGAGTAAAATTCTGTTTAGTGCTCATGAAAGGAGTTAACTGTACATATCAGAGAGTAAGTCTTTTATTTGTAAGTGTTAATTTTTTCCAACAATCCCTAAAACTCATCTCCTCTCTCTCCCCCACGGAATGCATAGCTTACTGGATGAAAAACAGACTGATGGTGGGGAGTGCCTGGTAGTTTTGTATACTGTGTGTCTTATGTGATTGCAATTATAGCATTGTGAAAAAAATTATCAGTGACTTTAGGAGTTTTTAAAAACTGTTCATAGTGAATTAGTATATGGCACACTCATTCCTTATACTAGCTCTCTTCCCTACCTCCATCCCCAGCTCCTTGGGTTGGGGAGGAAATACATTTGCACTGATAACTTCAAAAACGTGCAATGGATAGGAATAGAGATTCATATTTGTTATTCCTTTTGGTGTTTAAAATATCTCTGAAGGTAGCTTGTATTTCATAGGACCTTTGGGGCTTGAAGGGTTGTCTGGATTTTGGCTTTATTTATAGTTTGAGCTCCCTTTTGGATCTATAGTAATGAGCACCGTATACATACTTATGCCTATTGTATTATGTTTCGAAATTCTTTTGTCTCCTCAAGCACTTCAGGTGGAGAGGAGAGAGAGGGGCCTAATAAGTAAAATTATAAGTCAATAAACTTAATTAAATAATTGAAATCGCTCAATACAACATTGTAGCTCTTGATGTTGCCATTAGTCATTTGTTATCAGAATTTTTTTTTTTTTACTTCTTTCCTCTAATCAGTATTTCAGGGAGTTATTATGTAGTGATATAATGCTTAAAGGCCCTAATCCTGGAAAGACTCATGTATGTGCTTAATTTAGCTCACGATGAGCAGTCCCAATGAAGTCAATGGAACTACTCCATAGTGCATAAAGTTCAGCACGTAAGTTTTTGCAGGATCAGGGCCAACAAACTTGCTCTTCTGGGAGAGGTTATTTCCTGCTGGGTTACAAGAATGCTGATGAGAGCTTATGCAGTGTTGTTCTAGCCATGTTGGTCCCACGATATTAGAGAGACAAGATGGATGAGGCAATATCTTTAATTGGACCAACTGCTGTTGGTGAGAGACAAGTTTTGAGATACACAGAGCTCTTCAGGTCTGGGAAAGGTACTCTCAGCATCACAGTTAAATGCAAGGTGGAACAGATTGTTTGGCATAAGTAATTAGCATATATTGTAAGAGACTGTTCAAGGTAGAATGGCCCATTGACACCTCTGTAGTCATAGAACAAAAAGAGGGGGTTAGTGCTTTACAGCTTGTTGTAATGAGCCATAAATCCACTCTCTCTGTTCAGTCCATGATTTTTAGTGTCTAGCAGAGTAATGCATTTAAGCTCCCAGGCTTATCTTTTGAAAGTGTTATTGTTCAGGTTTCCTTTGAGGAGGAGGACTGATAGGTCAGATATAGAGTGATCGCTTTGTGAAAAATGTTCACGCACAGGTGATAGGATTTTTTTTTTCTTGTATCATTTTCTAATCACTACTGAAGAATGTAGTGATTTACTGGTTTCACCCACGTAGTTATTGGGGCGTTGTTTAAGTTAGTTGGGATGTATAATCTTTCTTGCCTGTCACAGGATGTATGGGGGGGCCTAGTCGGCAGTTTCCTTTGGCAAAATTTAACTAAGGCCTTTTCTACACTACCACTTTACAGCGCTGAAACTTTCTCGCTCAGGGGTGTGAAAAAACACATCCCTGAGCGCTGCAAGTTTCAGCGCTGTGAAGTGACAGTGTAGACAGTGCACCAGCACTGGGAGCTGCATTCCCAGCGCTGGTAGCTACCCCCCTCGAGGGGTTGGGTTTTTTAACAGCGCTGGTGCTGCGACTACACAGCCATGTTAAAGTGCTGCCACTTATCCACTCCCTCCTCATTCTCTTGATCAGAGTTGGTAGATGTGATGTTGCTAGTGGGATTCTTTCCGGGGCCAGAAACTCACTTCTGATATTGATTTAGGCCATGTATTATTATTTTTTTTATAAGACAGGAAACACTTTTATCTTTGTGTGCAGGGAAAGGTCTTGAACTGGCAGAAGCTGCAGAGCAGAGTGCTGTGCTTCCAGTTTAACACGAAGTATCATGAGTAACTGTAACGTGTCTGCCTAGTAAAGGGCTTGGGGACTTCATCCAGCAGTTCAGCTGTCCCATACTTGATAAGGTTGAAAACACAAAAAATAGACCCTGAATGGAGTTCCATTCAGAGGAGTGCTCCCTGCTGTGCTGGCAGAATTAACCTAGATCAATGCAAAGTGCGAAGTGGAATGATCAGTGCTCCATCAGACCCTGAATGAACAGACCCGACTGTTCAAGTTTAACAATGTGTGAATGGAATTCTCAAGCAGGAATTTGAAGTGGGTCACCCCATCCCAACCACAAAATTTATCTTTGCCTTCTAAGGCTATGTCTACACAGCTGCACCACTGTAAAGTCTCCTGTGTAGCTGCTCTATGCGGACGGGAGAGAGCTCTCCCACCGGCATAATTAAGCCGCCCCCAAGAAGTGGCGGTAGCTATGTCGGCAGGAGAGTGTCTCCTGCTGACATAGCGCTGCCCACAGCGGTGCTTTGTAGGTGAAACTTATGTTGGTCGGGGGATGTTTTTTTCACACCCCTGACTGACAAAAGTTTTGCAGACAAAGCCTAAGTCTTCTCTTCCTACCCTCCTGCCATAATATACATTCCCTCTGACCCCTCTACTCACATGCCGGCTCCTACACACACACATATCCGGCTTGCTCTCCAGACAGTCATGGAGTAGGAGAGCTCAGGTGGCTAGCTAACAAAAAGGGCCAGCCAGTAGAAGAGAGTAGCTAACTACTGAGCTAAATAAAACGTTGCTGTCAACATCGCAAGAGTGTAGTTTGTGGAAGGGTGGAGCTAGATGCACTGTTAGCCCCACAGAGAGGCTGCAACCCTAAGTAATGCCTCTCTTCTGCAATTGAGAACATGGCATGTTATATTTTCACATATCTGACAAAAAGGAAAAAGGCCTTTTATATATTCTGTCTGTGCATGAGTGAGAGTTGACGTAAAGCAGTTTAACCACACATGGAATAGGGAGACAGTCCTGACTGCCTTACTACTTGTAGAAGATTAAGCTTCTCTTCTCTCAGAATTTGTCTGAGACCTCTGATATTCAAGGCCTGCTGTCAATATCAGCTGAGCTTCATAGAGTCAAACTGGCTGTAAGAAGATAGGTTTCAGAGTAGCAGACGTGTTAGTCTGTATCCGCAAAAAGAACAGGAGTACTTGTGGCACCTTAGAGACTAACAAATTTATTAGAGCATAAGCTTTCGTGGGCTACAATGCATCCGAAGAAGTGGGTTGTAGCCCACGAAAGCTTATGCTCTAATAAATTTGTTAGTCTCTAAGGTGCCACAAGTACTCTTGTAAGAAGATGTAAACCTAAGCTCAAGAGCCAACAAGGGCACGAAACTCATGTAGATAACACTGTCATTCCCCCATTTACTGTTATAATTGGCTAGGTTTGAAAACGTGCTGAACTGTGTTCCATTACTCAGAATTGTTATTGTGAGTCTACTGTAAAGGGGAAGGCAGTTCTAGAAACATTGCTCTGGTCAAGCTCAGATTTTTCTGTTGAAAACAAATACATTGCGGGAGGCAGCTGGTTTGGGGCAGTTCAGTTGGGTACACTCTCTTCCTGTATTGCAGCTAAATCATAAAATATCAAACAGTATGTGGCATTAGCTCCATACCTGTTTGCTGGCATGCTGAGTTATTGGAGACAGAGCAATCCTGACACAGTTTAGAAAGCATTTAGACTTCTCCTCACCCTGCGAGGTGATGAATTGAGAACTTTACAACTGCTTGAATAAACAGGCAAGAGAGCAAGTGTTGATACCTGCCTGGCTCAGTAGAATCTGCTTCAAGAGCTGGTTCCTTCTTTTTCTCCCTAGAAAGTGCCTTTTCTAGTCTCTTAGGGCTAGTCGGCACTGGCAATGCTAAAGCGCTGTGGCAGCGCTTTAACGTGGCTTGTGTGGTTGCGGCGCAGTGCTTTGAGAGAGCTCTCCCAGCACTCTAAAAAACCCAGCTCCATGAGGGGCGTAGCTACCAGCACTGGGGGCATAGCTACCAGCGCTGGTGCACTGTCTATCCTAGCGCTTTACAGCGCTGAAACTTGCTGCGCTCAGGGGTGTGTTTTTTCACACCCCTGAGCAAGAAAGTTGCAGCGCTGTAAATTGCCAGTGTAGACAAGCACTTAGTGTTTACTAGAAAAAACAATACTGTATTAGATGACTTAATCAGTTACATTCATGGAACAGTTGGCTTGTCCCAGGGAAAAGCAATTAATTCTTTCTTAAAAACAAAAATTCAAATGCAAAAGTCGACCTCAATCTCATGAGTTGAAGGGCCTTTCCCTGTCCTCCGTTGGGCAGTTTTTGTGTGTAAGTACTCTCAGACTTCTTATCAAAGTGTCTGTACTGGGCTAGCTTGATTATCACTTCAAAAGTTTTTTTTCCTCTTACTTAATTGGCCTCTCAGAGTTGGTAAGACAACTCCCACCTTTTCATGCTCTCTGTATGTGCATATATATCTCCTCAATATATGTGCCAGTCTATGCATCCGAAGAAGTGGGCTGTAGCCCACGAAAGCTTATGCTCAAATAAATTTGTTAGTCTCTAAGGTGCCACAAGTACTCCTGTTCTTTTTCCAAACTACACTCTTAACTTTAGGATTGGCCCTTCCAAAGCCAAGAGGCACATTGACAGAATAGTATGGGATAACTTGCACCACTACACCCTACCCAAACGGGAATTGGGTCAGGATACAGAGCTTTATATCTCTAGTCTTAAGAAAAGTGATGAGGGATCTTTTATGACCTGGATTTACATTTCATCCAAATTATACCTCTGATAGCAGAGTTTCCTTCTCATCTCCCTCCAAAACAATATAGCAGGTTGGCATTGGTTTAGTACTGAATCACAAGGAATGTTTGTGGTCTTACTTTCTTCACTTACAGTGCAATGATTTGTAATGCCTCATAAATACATAAATTTAGCCATTTTCCATGTTTGTATGTAAAATATCCATTTTGTGATAGCCTGACACTCCACAAAGTGTCTGTTAGACTTCCCTGGTTAGAGTCCTGAAACTGGATATGACACACAAAGGAATGTTACAATTTCCTATATTATTGGCTAAGATCTAATTTTAACCACATTCAGTTTTCTTTAGTGCTTAGCAAAATTTTGGGTGCTTTTCTTTGAGCGATGTGATTTTTTTTTCTCTCTCTTTCTATTAAACGAATGAATCTCTGTGCAGCTGGACGGGGAGAAACTTTGCCCAAAGATTGCTCATCTGCTGCCCTACCAATTTCCTCATTTGCCTTTGTTAAGGATGATGATTTGGGCCCTGATTCTCCAAATGACTGGTGTAGTCAGAGCTTTATTCAAGTCAATGGAACTCTGCAGGAGCACAGAGATTCACCTGCATGGAAATGTGTGTGGGATTCAACCCTTGGTGTTGATTTGGCAGCAGTTTTGGCATTTTTTTCCCTCCCAGTAGCAAACTTCACTGTTTGATATCCAAGAGTGCACATTTTTCTAATAAGCATTTAGCTAAAACACAGTAAAGTCCTTTATGCCCATCTTGGGATTTGACAGTAACTGCTTAATAATTATGTTAAAGGTACTTATAAAACCCTTTGTATTGAAATTTTTTTAAGTTCATATATTTGCCCTCATTATGGCAATAAGTCTTGGGGCCAGAAACCTCCTGAAGATCACTAAAAGACATTCTTTATTTTGTCACATTGAGCTTCCCCCCCACCCCACCTGATATTCATGTACACTTCAAAACAAGACTTGAGACTTTGTGTCTGTGGTTTTGCATCATAGCTAGGGTTACCATATTTTGAGCCTCCAAAAGGAGGACACTCCACGGGGCCCCCGCCCCAACTCCGCCCCTTCCCCAAAGTCCCCGCCCCAACTCCGCCCCCTCCCCTGCTTCCCGCGAACATTTGATTCGCGGGAAGCCTGAAGCAGGTAAGGGGTGTGTGGGGGGAGGAGGCGCGGCCCAGTCTGGCCCCCCCGGCGTCTCCAGCCTGGGTCGGCTTGGGCTCTGGGGTGCCGGCCCCGGGCCAGCCCCCAGCCGAGCACCCCGGCCCGCCCAGCACTGCCGGTCCCCGGCCCGGCCCCCGGCTCAGCACCCCCCGGCCCCGGACGTATGGTAACCCTAATCATAGCGCACATAGACCACTGCTTAAACACTCAGCTATGACTCTTATTTCATTAGAGTAGTGGTTGTGTCCTTCTGTTGAAATTTGTCCAGATGGGTAATGTTGCAAGCAGAGTTGTTCCCTTTGATACTTTGCATGAGTAGCCAGCCCATGATATAACTGTAATCCAAATTAGTGCAATTGTCATTGTATAAAATAATCCCTGAAAATTCTTCTGCATTACTTAAAGGAGACTTGTAAGGTTTCTTTAAAAATTGGGCATTTCCCCTTTTTTTGCTCTTTTACTATAATGAAGAAGGCTCAAAAGGTTTGGGTTTTTTTGTGTTTGTTTTTTCTGGAGTTTTGCTGGCAGACCTCCAGCAGGTCTCAAAGGTCATTGTGAGCAGTAACACTTGATTGAAGGAGATTGAAGAAGTTTAGTCAGTTTTTTGAATCTTTAACAATGGTTTCCTTGATTCAAAATATTTCTTTGTCATTTAACATGGGTAAATAATAACAAATCAAAAATGTTTTTTTAACGGTTTGACTAAAATTCCCTTCCCCTCCTAATTGCTCAACTTTCATTCTCTTGACTTTGGTGTTTCTCCGGTCATCATAGAATCTTCCTGCCTAGACAGGATCTGTATTTCTAATGTAAAAAGACAAGGAGAAAATATTTATTTCAATTTTCTACCCTCTTTAAAAAAAAATTGTTTTTATAAAGGAGCAAAGAAGGAAACGAGTCCAACGTTTTTCCTCCCCTCTGCAGGGGACCTTCAAAACAGCGTTTTTTTGCAGTTTGCGCTGTGTTGGTTGACTTATCCATGTACACTGTAAAAGTACGTCTGATGAGAGGGAAGAAATATATTTCTTGACTGAGAAATCACTTAGTGCTACCTCAAAAGTGATTTCTCCTTAGGGTGACCAGATAGCAAGTGTAAATAATTGGGATAGGGTAGGGGGTAATGGGAGCCGTTTTTGTTTAAAAGGATAAATAATGAGACAAGAAGGATGGGATTTGTTTCTAGATTCTATTTCGTGGTGGAAAATTAACTATGGTACGTTTGGGAAAATCTGGGCTGTGGTCTGGGTGAGTAACTAAATTCAGCCACAAGATGGCAGTAAAGATTTATAGTACCAAAGGTTGGCATAGACAACAACAAAAAAGCCCCAATGTTCGTTGGGCATCTTTATACATATGGTATTAGTTGCTGAGGTTCTTGGATGGCAGAAATCTGAACTCCTTTAGTTCTATGAGGCATTTAAAAAATGCTCATATTGCAACAGAGCTGAAATTACTCATTTCAGTGTAATTTGACTTGATTTTAAAACACTTATAGCGACTGTATGAAGTGGTACATCCCAAAAAGAATGAGTGAAGATCGATATAATTAGATATTTAGTCAGTAGCTGGTGGTTTTCTGAAGTTTGTTTCCACTTCAAAATGATTCCATCTAGCTTGGCTTTTAACTCCATGTAACTGCATGTACATGTTCTTTCCCCCTATTAACTTTCTTAGGGTTGCCAGATGTCTGGTTTTCAACCAGAACACCCGGTTGAAAAGGGACCTTCCCCTGTCCGCTGAAAATGAGCGAGTGAGTGAGGGTGGGGGAGAGCGAGTGATGGAAGGAGGGGAGATGAAGTAAGCGGGGTGGAGCCTCGGAGAAGGGGCAGGGCAGGGGTCTTCGGTTTTGTGCGCCTGGAAAGTTGTCAACCTGAAATAGTTGAGGTAAACATCGTTGGAAAAATAGATACTTCCTTTTGTCAGTTATCCACAGGTGGTAGCTTGAGAGTATGATGTTGAAAACTTTTTTTTTTTTTTTTTTAAAGGTCTATAGAAGTCATTCCAGCAATTCATTTTCTAACTCAAATAAGAATAAAATAACTGACTAGAGTCACCAATGACCAGAATCATTTACCATCTGCAACCTTTGGCATTTTAAACTTTCAACATCTGAGAGAAGGAGGAAGGAGAGAGAGGCCAGCATGAGGTCCCTAGTTGTACAGAAAATGGGTTCTTCCACCCCATAAACAGTTTAAAAGAGAGTCCTTCCTATCAATGTTAATCCCAACACTACAATTTAGCACTTTCAGATAGATGCCTGAGATGTTCTACTACTTCTGTCCCTTTCTGTCTTCCGTTTATCTTAGCTGAGCTCATTCCGTAGGGAGCAATCCTCTAATTATTTTGAGCCATTCTCCAAATGCAAGGGATCATTGTCTGTCTGTCTATTAGCCACATGTTTCCTTACCAGGAGCCACAAACTAGCAATGAAGTCCTCAGCAACTCTGCAGAACAGGCCTGCAGGGCAGATTTTTCCCATTCAGTTATCTGGCTTCTCTTAATCTTGGCTACATTTTTGGGGGGGGGGTTGGGACCCAACGATTTTCTCTGCTAATCTCTCTCTCTCTTCTCCCCCCCTTCTTCCTCTCCCAATAAACCCCCATGATAATTATGAAAGCATTTGGGCTAAATAACGATCTTTCTCTTTGCAGCACTAATGGAACAGTAATTAATAAACTGAAAGTGGTTAAGAAGCAGACATGCCCTTTGCAGACTGGGGATGTGATCTATGTTGTTTACAGGAAGAATGAGCCAGAAAACAGTAAGCAGATATCTTTTTTTTTTTAAATGGCGTTGGCTAGTCATAAGGGATACAAGGGAATATCAGATGGTGAGACTAGAGCTACTCAGTGAATGCTAGAGCAAGTCACTTCTTAATATTAAAACCAAACTTTTTCATGATTCTGGGGGCCTTCTCTAGTCATCGTCATCATCCTCTCTTATTTGTATTATGGTAGCGCCTATAGCCCTTGGTTGAAATTGGGGCCTCATTCTGCTAGATACTCTATAAACACATAGTAGGAAATAGCCCCTGCCCTACAAAACCTACAGTCTAATGAGACAAGATAGATGAAGGCTTGGAGGAGAAATGGAGGCAAAGAGAGGTGGCGAGACAAGCTAAAAGTCATGCAGCATGTCATTAGCAGAGCCAGAAATAGAAGCCAGATCTCCTGGGCCCAACCCAGTGCCATGAAATTAGTTATAAAGTATTTAGCATTTGTTACTTTAGTAGAAAATGTTCAGTTTTCTGAAGTTTCCTTTATAATAGATTAAAGGTATAGGTCTTTTAAATACTACATTCTAGCTACTATGTCCAAAACAGGAATGTAAATCTCTGAAATGAAATTTTATAGTGGGCAGATTGGGAGTGTAACGAGTTATTACACTGTCATATGATCAGGCATTATTATGAAGAGATAAATACTACTGTGATGAGTGTGGTATTAAAACCCCAGATAAAACTTAAGCCCCAGATGAATTTGGTGCCTCAGATTTGTCTAAAGTGTAAGAAAGTCTAAATGTCTTAGAATTTATGTTTGCAACTATGCCACGACAGGAAAATTTATAAGCTGTTTGTCCACAGTTTATTTTAGATGCATATAACTGTTGGAATCTGAATTCCCTTTTGTAACCTCACCATCAGTTTTTAGAATCTGGATTTATCAATTTGTGATGTCAGTTTTACAGGAAAGCAATGACACATGCGCACACACTCTAAATCTATATCTTTATATCCACTATCTCTTTTGTTGATCCTCTTTTGGGGATTTCACTGTAGCAGGCAATACTAGTTGAGGAATTCATTTACCCTGTTGTTCCAAGATAGATTGAGATGTTCTGAGGTATTAATTTTTAGTTAAAATGTATTTGAACAGGGCTGCTTAGTGCCTTAGTACCTATCATTCAGTTAATGTTCTGAGTCCTGATTTTTTTTCATCCCTTGTGCCTTGAAGGACTGAGCGTGAGCTTAGCTTTGGCACGTATAGTTGTCTTATTTAAGCAATTCTGAAACAGTCTAAAAAGAATCCTGCATAGTTCTTTGCTCGTAAGATTGATCACAGTGCAAATGTAGAGGGTGTTGGAAGGACCTAAATGGTTGAGGATAAAAAGCAAGGAGACACAATGGGATCTCTGGGGTTCCGTCAGGAAGCTGGAGGGTTCCCATAGGCTGGGGAAGAAAAGAATTTGCTCTGATTTGCTTCGTAAGTAGGTTTTGGGTTAGCCGGTGAATAGCATTTGGGTAGTGGCTTAAACTGTTGTATGGAATTTGATTGTTAACTTTAAACTTTTTACAATAAACTCTAAGGAAAATTATATAAAAAATTGAAAACTTACGAACAGTTAGAGCTCACCTCTCAGCCTTCTGCAGAGAACATCCAGTACAGTTGTATTAGTAAGAGTAGTCACAGCTTATCTTGACACAGCAGAATTTATAGTTAGGAAGTGTTTAAGCCTCAATTTCTATGGTTGGCACAAGCAAAATTTCACACACAGCCATTCGGCTTGGTCTGAGAAGAATAGATCTAGCTGTTCTGTTCCTAATTACCTCCTAAGTAGCAGCATTAACATTGGCTATAACAGCAATCTCCTGTTTGCCCTCCATTGTAGGAAACGTATGAGAAGCAGCCACCTGTGGGTAGGAGTTGGTGAGAGTAAGAGGGAGAGAAATAAAAACACTTTTATAATAAAATTTCTGCCATTTTCTCTCCTTTCAGATGTTGCTTATCTCTATGAATCCTTCCATGCAAAACAAGATGTAACACAAGAGCTAGTAGGTAAGTAAAACTATTAGTTCAAGACTAAAGAAAGGGAGATGAGTGGTTGTGACTAATTGTAGCCGTTTTAAGAGAGCTTGATTCCTTCAAATCCTGTTAATTGACTCTGTTGAAGCCATGACCTTTTGAGGTTGCCTATCAGAGAGATATTCTTTCCACTCCCTTTTCTGTTACAGAAGCTAATGTAGAAAATACGTGCCATCGGACCAAAGATACCTCACATATAGGAAGAAGTGATGATGGAACCCAAATTACCTCATCACTGCCAGCCACTCAGTCTTGCTATGAGGAACCACAGCCATCTACTTCTACATCTAACCTCTTTAATGCTTCTTCTACCTCTCTTATCGAGCGGGCATCTGCTGAGCAGGATAATCCTTCAACATCTGGTAAGGTATTGTGTGCAGTGTTTGTAAGCTTGGTGCCTCAAATTTTGACTCTTCTGTTGAATCCTAAGAAACGAATCTCTTACTGTAGAGGATAAAATGATAATGATCAAAATCCCTGCAAAAGTTCAAGTCAAAGCACCTGATCGGTAGTTAATTTAATAACTTGTTCCATAAGAAAATCATAGGCTTAGTCCTAGTGGCTCAGAGAGGCAATTGTGAGAATTGTGTGTATTCAAGGACACAGACGATGCATTTCAATCATTAAGTGTTTTAATTTTGCAGCCTTCACCATCTTGGAACTTAGATGCAGCTGTTGGGGATTTTTTCCCCTCACCAAGCTGGAGTGTAAACTTACTGAAACTATACAGATCACATCACAAAGCTAACTACAACTGAATATTTGCATGCATTCTAATCCTCACTGTTGCTGCTGCCATTCAACAGTCCACTTTCTCCCATTCAGAGATTTTTAAGGTTAGAAGGGACCACATTGATCATTTAATCTGACAAATAGGACAAAAGACAATTATTTAGAAGATGTAAATGATGTTCCCAGCAGTGATCCCCAGTTCTTCTGGGGATCCTTTCCAGCTACCCACCTGCCACCCAGTTTAACCAAGTGAAAATCCACTCATGCCGTCGTTCCAATTTACCAAATTATATGATCATGGCAGGCTGCCTCCTGACCTTCAGCGTATCCTCAATCTTCTGTGCACCTATATTGCATCCTGTTTCATGACCTTACTCCATCCCCAGATTGCTTAAACGCTTCAAATACTGCAACATCCGATCGCAAATCTGGCCCTGCCTGCTCATACTGGCTCCTTCCTAAGTATTGTTCAAAATGTGCCTTAGCCTTGATGTACTCTGCATATTATTTGTGCTCCCCCCAGACTCTTCAACCACTTCTGTGGTAGGCTGCATATGTGGAAGGAGGTGGGGGGGCTGTGTGTGTGTGCGCATGTGAGAGAGAGAGAGAGAGAGAGAGAATAAAATCACTCCAAGACTGAATCTTTATTACTAAGTACTGGCCTGGAGCATATTTTTATGAATGAATTATAAGCACTTCTATTTAGATGGGGAGCGTTTACAGATTCTGTACCAGTTTCTTTACAGATTCTCCAAATCAGGTATATTGGGAAAACTAAGGGCTGGTCTATACTTAGCCGCTAGTTCGGCGGCTGGAAATCGAACTTCCTGGTTCGATTTATCGCGTCTGGTCTGAACGCGATAAATCGAACGAGGAAGTGCTCGCCGTCGACTGCGGTACTCCAGCTCAACGAGAGGAGTACCGCGGAGTCGACGGGGGAGCCTGCCTGCCGCGTGTGGACCGTGTCTGAACCGCGGTAAGTTCGAAGTAAGGTATGTCGACTTCAGCTACGTTATTCACGTAGCTGAAGTTGCGTACCTTACTTTGACTTGGGGGGTTAGTGTAGACCAGGCCTAAGACAGATGATATGATATACCATATAATCGTGCAAACAATGCCAGCACACTCGGTGTTTGACATGGCCTTTTCTCATTCAAATGATGTTTGAATTGGGATGGGCAGGTGTCATGGGAAATATAGTTTTTCTTCAGTGTTCCCTCTTTGTACACATCTGTTAATAATCTCTGCTTTCATTTTACAGGATCACAGTCCTCTATTTTCATTCCTGTGCCTGCTTTCCCCACTCTAGAACCTAGGTGTCCTGGAGCATCACATGAAGAACAAGGACAGCTGTATGCAAATAGTGAAACTTCCACTATCACTTCAAATATCATTGATAAAGAGAAAAATGAAAGTTCTACATCAGAGCCTCAAAGGGAAGAGGAGGAGGACTTGGAGCCTGCAAAGAAGAAAATAAAAGGAGGCTAGTATATTACAGTATTATGTGACATAAGATGTAGTCTTCTATTTAATCTTTTGTTAAAATGATTTGAAAGAAAACTGACACTCTGTAATGTAATCAGAAGCTTCCAATTACGTACATGGGTGGCTTGTTAATTTTTCACAGAATTCCATTTGGGTTAAATGAAACACAGGGATCTGAAATGACTTACCAGGGCTCAGTAGGCAGTTCAGTGGTTCAGTCTAGATTAGAATCCAAGACTCTAACTATATTTTATGAAAGTTTAAGACTGTTATTACTTTTTTCTCTGCTGAAGTGAAATGAGTCCAAAATGCACTCCTATAACCTAGAAGGGCTTTAAAGGATTTGTTTAAATGGTATATAAAACCTTATTGTGTTCTGAATAATATAGATCTATATATATAATATAGGTATTGCAATCTGGTTTTTAAAAACACGTGCCCTCAGGCTTCTATTACATGAGGGCAAATATGTTTACTTTTCACAAAGTATGACTTAAAGCAGGGGTTCTCAAACTGGGGGTCAGGACCCCTCAGGGGGTCACGAGGTTATTACACGGGGGGTCGCCAGCTGTCAGCCTCCACCCCAAACCCCACTTTGCAGCCAGCATTTATAATGGTGTTAAATATATAAAAAAGTGTTTTTAATTTATTGGGGGGAGAGGGGAGAGTCGCACTCAGAGGCTTGCCATGTGAAAGGGGTCACCAGTACAAAAGTTTGAGAACCATTGACTTAAAGGGACCAAATATTGCTGATTTCAGACCTTCTCCAGGCTTCCTGCTATTCTGTTGCTGGCTCAGTGAAAATAATGGCTGTGGCTGTAAGACTGTGCAGAGATCAGTCTGCAAAGCAAGGACATCAGCTTTGTGACAACACTAGTGATGGAAGCAGATATGAATCATAATGCTTAGCTTTTTGGCTTAATTGAGTAACATTAAATAGGAAGGCTCTGACATCCATGGTCAATGTAATGTATTGTTATAACACTGAGATATATCTTCTCTGCAGATGAGAATGCTAGTCCATATCTTCAGATGACAGCTCCAAATCAATGTATAATTAAAGCTGGATCTGAAGGTGCAAAAACAACTAATGTGAAACCAGACAAAATGGAAGAAACACTCACTTGCATTATCTGCCAGGAATTGCTGCATGACTGTGTCAGGTACCTATAGTTAAAAAGAAGCTTCTGTAATTACATGGGACTTAATACAAAGAACGCAATAACTGCTGTTTGGGGTAGTGGGGGTTTGTCTTTTGTAAACTATTAGTTTCTCTTGAGAGTTGGTAAGATTTTCTCTTTTTATGCAGTGTATATACCAGGGTTTCAACATGTACACTTCCCCCACCGTACAGTATTGAACAATTAGCTAGCTGCTTTAGGCTGGGACTTTCAAATGGTAGAAGTGTTCACCATCCTACAAAGCCTCGGGCATAGACCACAGTCAGAGGCATGATACAGGATTTAATGGACCATTGAGTCAATCTGGTATAGCAAATCTCACGATGAATTCTAGTTCACTTGGCCAGTGGCTGGTTAAACAAGGCTTTGACTCTTCTTTAATCAACATTACCATTTTCTGATGGGAAAACTACTATCCAGCTGAAGTGAAGTGGAGTGTATCAGGTAGCTTAGCCAGAAAAGCAGATCAAACTGAACATGAGATGCGAGTTGAAGTGTGTGATTTTTAATGGATGCTTTCCCATCTCGATATGGGAAAGGTGAGCATCTTTGCCTCAAGCATATATTTGGAAAAGGCTCAAAATTATAGGGGATTATAAGTAATTGAACAATTATTAAAGTTAATTTAAAAAATGAAGCAGTGTCCCTCAGTAATCAAAGGTGCTAGATTAATAGCACAGCAGTCCGGGAAGTGTGGATGAAGAGAGTAGAGTGATTCCAGCTCCAGTCTATATTAAATCCTTGGTCTCTGACAAGACTTACAATAATATGACACTAATTGTGAATGTGGGTTACTTTATATTGTAGATATGCTTTCTACAATCTACTAAATCCTGAGATTATCCACTAATATCCAATAGACTGCTAAACATCTGTCAGCTGATTGGTAACGGAAATGTGGTCACCAATTCAAATTTCCTGTGTAGTCCTGGCCTCTTGTGAAACAGATCTTCACTGTGGAAAAACAGACTTCCATACAAATCATTACATAAAGTTCTTTGATATTTCTTGATTATCTAAACAGATATCAAAGGACCATGCTTTTTAAATACTTTTGTATTTAAAGCTTATGTAAAAGGCCTGTTTTGAGTCTTGGGATTTCTCATTGTCCCTGTGATGTAAACCTGTTTGTGTTTCCAGCTTGCAGCCCTGCATGCACACCTTCTGTGCTGCCTGCTACTCAGGGTGGATGGAACGGTCTTCTCTCTGTCCAACTTGCCGTTGTCCAGTTGAACGTATCTGTAAGAACCATATACTGAATAACTTGGTTGAAGCCTATCTAATCCAACATCCAGGCAAGTTGGAAGTGTATTTAATATTCTTACATATACAGCATGTTTCAGATATTAAGTGTGAAATAGGTGTATAAACAGAGAAAAAGATCTTTATCCATCAAACCTTCTGTGCCTTTCCTACTATTTTGCCTGTTGCTCTCACTTTGCCATAAGAGAAAAAGAACCAACAGCCAGTCAGTATGTCAGAATAAAGTGTAATACTCAAATACCTGAGAATTGAAAGCAATTTATTACAGGAACCTTTTTATAATACTAGACCTGAAGGCACTTAACAAATGTGAAGCTAAATTCTTATGAGAGGGAGGGAGGTATTGTCAAAGAGAGGCATTGAGAGATGAGGCTTCCTGAAGTTAGATACTTCTGAAAAAACAAGCCACTAAGATGCTCAAATTTGGATTTAATTGTCTAACTTTAAGCACCCACTCCTGAAAATTTCATCCTAACTGACTTACCCAAGGTCATACCACTGCCATTGGCAGAGCTGGAACTAGAATTACGAATTCCGGGCTTCAGTCTTGTGCTTGTGACTTTATAAAATGTCAGATACGTGAACATTCTAGGATGTATTGCATAGCTACAAATATTGTAGTCACATATTCATAAATACTATGTACATTGTTTAAAAACTTGCAAGGTGATGGAGATGATTTTGCTCTGGAGTAGTCGATTTGATGATTTACAGCTATCTCTTTCTTCATGATCATGTTTGTGTTTCTTTTGCAGATAAGTGTCGTAATGAAGAGGATGTACGTAGTATGGATGCCAGAAACAAAATCACTCAAGACATGCTGCAGCCTAAGGTGCGAAGGTCATTTTCAGATGAAGAAGGAAGTTCTGAGGATCTGCTGGAACTGTCGGATGTAGATAGTGAATCCTCAGATATCAGGTATTGGCTTAGCTTTTGTTTGAGTCTGAGTGCTGGCAGTCTCAAACCAGGCTAGAGCACTGTGTTGTTAGCTGCAGCCATTTGCAAAACTGGGGTTTAATCTTTATTGCGTCCCTCATTTTGAAGCCCTGGCAGTGTGTTTTCATGATCATTGTCAGGGTTCGGTTTTGATTTAATTTTTGTTTTCAAGTTCAGTTTTGGAACCTCTATAATAATCTCAAAACTGATAGATAAGGTGCTATTTATAAAGGCAACAGGGAGCTGATCCAGGTCATGGCACAAGCTAAAGTAGCCCAAGATCATCAGTGTACAGCTCCAGCCGTGCTGCCTTCTGCCCCGGGCATTCCCTCTCCACCAGAGGTCCAGTAGTGGGTGAAGTTGAGCAGCAAGTGCTTTCCTGAAGGATTCCCAGATACGAGGAGGATTTCCAGCTGGTTGGTTAAGCCAGGTTTCTGGTGCCAAGGGGATAGAGTGGAACAGAATGGTGGATCTGGCCCTAAATCACCACATACTGTTGTAACTTTTTGTCCTCCTTTTCCTCCCATCCTATGCCTTCTTGGATTGGAAGCCAAGGCAAGCATTGTGTCATTTGTAGGTCTTGAAAAGTGTCCAGCTCACTTGTGGGCTCAGTGTAAATAACAACAATCTAGGGCTACTTGCACTCACTTCTGGAACTAAAAAACTTTAAATGCTTCTGAAATAATTGTCTTTTTATTTTACCCTTTCTACTTTGAAAGGAACTAGGAGTTCAATACTTAGCTTCACGTGATCTGTGTTGCTGAACTCGTAAGCTTCCATATCCAGATTTTATCTACTGGGCTTAGGCTAACACTTCATAAAACCAGAAACAAATAGCTAGTTGAATCCACTCTGGAAACTATACATATAAAATCCAATAACCTGATTGTGTCTGTCCTTTCAGTCAGCCTTATATAGTGTGCAGACAGTGCCCAGGATATCAGCGACACTCCATTCCGCCACTTCCTTGCCCAGGCCAAGAGGGGGAAGCAGGAGGATTGCAAGCATTGGGAGATGCACCATCGACGTCTGCCAACTTTCCTGCAAGTCAGTGTGATGAAAAGCTTGTTGTTAACGTGGTACTGGGACACTAAGAAACACATGTCACTTATGAGGAAAGGACATGTTCTTGGGGTGTTGTGAAAGTCAGCATCTTCCCTAGAGTCTTGAGATGTGAAGATGACTTTCCTGGGTTACTGGGGGATAAGTCAAGCCTTTCCTATTTATTTAACAAATACTATGTGCTCTGTCTTTAAATAGCTATACATTATAGCTGAGTCGAACCATTTTCTGTCACCCTTGTGGGAGTATAGAATAATCTGTGTCTCTGTGAATTTCAGCAAAAGGCAAACCCCTACTACAAAAGCAGATTTACAACACTCCATATTGGAGTTATCAGTGGTGTAGATTCAAAAGCTTACAGGATTTGTAGTGCTTACAGGGCGAGTGTAGATGACTCTACTCAGGGTAATAAATAATCCACTAACTACTAGGGTTTAGTTGGATTTCCCAGGGAGGGGAATAAGTTGTAAAACATCAACTGATGAGGGTCATCTGAAATAATTGTTCTCCATTCTTCATCTTGTGGGTTGACAGTCTTGATTTTGCTGCTGGTGGATAAAATTGAAGGTTTCATCAAAATCAAAGTGGTATCAAAAGGTTTTCAAGCTTTTTCTCCTGCTGTTTCAAAGCTGATTGAAAAAATCATACATTGGCTTTGATTTGTCAACTCTAGAGTCTGCATGTATATGTGTGATGAGAGAGATATGTACTCAAATGTACAAGCAGAAAACTAGGAGAAAGCTTACAGCTGTATTGCCCAAAATACACTGTTTAGGAGCAATTGGTTCTTTTACTTTCTTAAGCTATTTCCCTGTATTAAATAAAAGTCTTGTAGTTTAATAGTGTAAAAAGGTATATTGTTTAGAAGCCTTAATGCCAATTTCCCTATTTTTCTGTATAGCCTTCTAAAAGCTTTAGTGATATTGCTTAAGTATCAAGTTCCTCTGCCCTTTGGATGCTGATGTGTGTGTCTAACACTCATTGGTACTGTGGTTCCATATTATATAATTCTTTGGGATTTTATTTCTTTCAATCTAGCTGTCCAGGAGTATGTTTGTCCTTCTCAAGGAAGTCATGTAATATGCACCTGCTGTTTTCAGCCAATGCCAGACCGAAGAGCAGAGCGTGAACAGAATCCCAATATTGCCCCTCAGCAATGTGAGTAAACTTTATTATCCTAAAAACAAATGCAATTCTGATTGCTAATCCTAGGTCTATTTGAAAGACATTCTAACTATAGTAGATCATGTGCTGTTACAAGAGAGGGTTTTCCTGCTTCTGTGGGGTTTAATTAAGAGAGGGAGGTTGTTCTCCTATATCTCTACTCTAAGCACAATTAATGCAAATTGTTTTGAAATATATTAGCATTTTTTCAACAATAGTGTGGATGGAAAGACTTCTATATCTTTGTTGTCATAGTGATATAGCAAAATGCATTAGCTGACTTTTTTTTGGTATTGTAACATTTCTCATATAGCCACCATTTATGTCAGGTTAGTTGTACAGCAGAGCAGTGTTTTGTGTAAAGCCCTATGAGCTTTGGATTGTTATGCTGCTTTGTAAGACCAATATACCCAGACAGTGGTGACTGCCTTGGGTTGATCGTGGCTTTTCTTTGTGTTCACAGGCACAGTTTGTCTACAGCCGTTCTGTCACTTGTACTGGGGCTGCACTCGGATGGCATGTTTTGGCTGCTTGGCACCATTCTGTGGTATGGCAGGAGAATCACTGTATCAGCTATAATCACTTTGCATACAATAGTGTCTCGGTTACTTGGATTTTACCAAGCTTACTTTTCTAATGTAAATGTAATGTTGTAGTTCAGATTAGGCTTTAGCTCAATCACAGTCATGGCACAGAAAAAGAGAGGGGATCTATGTTGTCATGTTCCAAATGCATGTAACTCTTTAAATGTATAATCCTTAGCTTTGACATGCTTTAACACTGACGTCATATCAGATCAAGCGATCAAATTACTTTTGTGACTATAAATAGCACCTTGGGTATTAAAGAGAATCTTGCAACATTTCAAACTAAGGAGAAAAACATACAAATCAACATAAGAACGTTGAGAGCTAGATCTTAAGATGTTAGAGAAGACACTTACCCACTTCAAAAACTTTTAGACTATACCTTTAAAATGGGTAGTAGAAGTCACAATTAATGGGTTATTGTATTGTTAATTGGTACTGAGCAACAGTGGCTCCTGTGGACTGTAATGAGTAGTGAGCTGCTTAGTACCTAATCTTGGATCAGTTCCTAAAGTTGGGATGTTACATGATATGCTTCAATATGTGTTTGCATAAACTCATATACTGTGTTCATAAAAGTCCATCTTTGTTACAGAATAAGAAAAACTTATTTAGAAATTGCAAAACAAAGATAATTTCTCCTCTTAACAGAAATAAATCTTGGTGACAAGTGTTTAGATGGAATCCTAAACAACAACCATTATGAGTCGGATATTCTAAAGGTACGTTTAAAAATCACTATATGTTGGATGTGAGCATGAGAACATGTAACACTGAGACTGTGACATACCAGGTGTTTAAAGCAAGAAATCCAGAAGGAGACACTCTTCTCCTTTATCCATCCCATTGTGGGTAGGTCCAGCAGCAATTGAGTGATGTTTGTTCATTCACTGTCTGGAGATGCAGGTAGTGTCTAGGCACAACTAACATTATCTTTAACTCAAATTCCATGAGTTATATTTTGTTTTACTTTAATCACTCCATCCTCACCCCCAAACTCAGCGTCATTTTAACACCATTAGCCTAATCCATTAACTCTTACTCAGGCAAATATTCTTTTCAAAGACAGAGTGAGTTTAGAAGACTGAATAAAGACATCAAGAATGTGTTCAGTCTTTCATGTTGGTACATCTCCTTGAGAAGAGTGCAGGAGAAGACACAATGGACAGTAACTGCTCTGAGCTATTAATGAGTCAGACTTCTACTGTATATAATAATACCTTGCTCTGATGTAGTGTGATAGTTTCCCCATCTGTAAAATGGGAATAGTAAGATGAAGTGGCTTTCCCAAAGTCACCCAGCAGGCCAGTGGCATGAAATAATATACATGCTTAGATTGTGTATAAATACATATTTAAGGATTTAGACAGAGTGTTCACCCAGTAGAGTGTAATTACTATCTAGTGTGTGTTTATGTATACATACCTGTACACACACATACACATAGGGATTTTATATTGTGGTCTGTTAAGCCTAAAGTGCACTCAGTTCCTGGATGATGAATTGTAATGGATTTTGGCTCAGTGTGTCACTGTGGTATCATCTGCTCTGCACCAGCACTAAACTGATGTTACTAAACATCCTTTCTGTAAGGGTGGGGGAAAGGTGTTCACTAGCAATGTTGCATGTGGTGATCTTTACAATAGGGCTGTGTCCTGGCTGGCAGTTTTAGGTGTGCCGCCAGTGGGTCTCTGAAAGGCAAACTAAATAGTTCTTCAGCTTTCAGCAGAGCCGACCAAGTGTAAAACTTACCTCACTGAGCAAATGGCCAGCTGGAAGTATTGTATTTATTTCTGGGTCATCTTTTAGCCATTTCAATTTCTGTGCCAGAGGAAGTGTAGCGATTTGAACTAGAATTCCCTCCAAGCTATCCTGAGCACTCCCCTCCTCCTGCTCTTTCTCCCCAAAATAAGTTGAAAAATCACTTTTCCATAATCATGGAGATTTATTTCTCCAACTTGCACTTCTGGTGCAGGTGTGGCAATGATTAAACACCAGAGAAATCACGTTGAAATTAAGTGACTGAAAGACACCTTCTGGAATTCAGATGCATCTAGCAAACCGGTGTTACAGCTTTATACATATCAATGATGACTTGCTAAGAAAACCGGTTCCTAAGGTCTATTAAAAAGTGTAATGTCCAAAAGATTAGTAATGGAAAAAAATCTGCAAAGAAAATTAGGCTTATTACAATTTTTTCCTCCACTCGAGTTAATTTTAACTTAAAGTATATGCCAAATATTATGTACCTGACCATGATCCATGTTGTCTTTAGCTAAGGACACTGGGTAAAATCCTGGCCCCGCTGAAGTCAATGGAAGTTTTGACATTGACTCTAATGGACCAGGACCTTGCCTAGCATGATTAAGCTTCAATCCTGTGAAGTCTTACACACACACGCTTACTTGCAGTGGGACTACTTGAATGCTTAAAGCTAAATACCTACATTAGTCTTTGCGGGAGAAGGGTCATGGTGAACATAGAGTATTGACTATAAGTATCGGTGATCTGACAATGGTAATATTGGTAGTCGGGTTAAAGAAATATCAATAATTTGGATTAAAAATATAAAATGAAATGCATTTTGAAAACCTATTTAGACTTACATTTTTGTTACATTGATATCTCTTAGCCTCTTCTAAATACACATTTTTAAATTCCATGTTTCAGGATTACCTGGCATCCAGGGGTTTTACATGGAAAAACATGTTAAATGAAAGTCTCTTAGCTCTTCAAAGAGAAGTTTTTATGCTGTCAGGTAAGTCTCTTCATTCTTATGTTTATTTTGAGTGGCATGCATTTCAATAAGTAATAGTGGATTGTGCTAAATCTATCCTGCTTTCCTAAGCTGTCTGTGTACATGCTCAGAGCGGTCACTGCATTTTTTTGAGACGTTAGATTAAATGAGACTTAAATTAATGCTGTGTACAAACTGGCTTGTTCTCCAGATTACAGAATTACTGGGAACACAGTGCTTTGTTATTGTTGTGGCCTCCGCAGCTTCCGAGAGCTCGCCTACCAGTATAGGCAGAATATTCCTGCTGCTGAATTGCCAGGTGAGGAATGGGGAAAAATTAATTTGGTCGGTGACTGTGCAGGCCTGGGAACTCAGAGTCAAACCTCTTTCAGTTAAATGGATCCTCCCATGCAGGTCCTTTCACCTAGGTGTAGTCCTGTTGCAGGCAGTCGGTGGTTCCCTTTGCAGGATTGAGGTCTTACGTTGGTTGCCTTACTCATGAGTTGTTATAAAGCTTGTGTGTTACCAGTTCAAAGAGCGGCTAGTGCCAAAACCTTCATAGGGGATTCTTTGCCTCCAATATGACTTGTTATTTTTTAAAAATTTAAATATTTATGAGGACTAAAGGGCATACTAAAATACTTCAGAATTAAAGCATAATGTATAAGAACAACTAGCTGTTGACTATAATTTAGCTATCATAAATTCTTTGCACATTTAAATGCAAATCAGGTGCTGATATTTTCTGAATGATATCGGACTATATTGGCTCATGTTGTTAGTTGGTTACAAGAATTCCTCCCAACCCGCATTCTAAAACTGCTGAGCAGCATAGAGCTTCATTATAAGATAGTAGGGGCAATTGTATCTCCTTCAATTCCAATGTGTCCACAGTCTGTTGGGGGCCGATGAGCCCTTCCATTAATCGACTTTTAACTCAGTTAGGCACTGCAACTCTTTTTTTCCAAACAGTCCTTGTTAGCAACAGCGTCTCCACTCAGTTACCTGCTAAGTCTGCTGCTGCGAGTTTCAACACAGCATGGGGCAGGCGGGCCAGCCTAGTATGTTTAATTTTTATAAGTAACATTTTATCTGCTTAGGGAGGCATGTTTGACTGCTCAGCTTTACATTCATTATAGCTGTGGCAAAACGACAGAAACAAAAATCATCACTACACATTCTGTTTTGAAGTATATCTAAACTGTAACTGATGCATGATGTCTTATGTATTTAAGGCCCGATCCTGTTTCCACTGAAGTCAGTGGCAAAACTCCAAGTGGCTTCAATGGTGCAGGATCAAGTCATTATGCAGAGGGCTGGTCCATGTTTGCCCCCAATGCATGATGGGTTTTTCTGTGCTTCAATATGTATTTTGTAAAAATGACAGGAAACTGATATTACTTAAAGCAGTTCCTTGCAAGAGGTCTTTTCTGTCCCCAGCAACACCTAAGCAAAGCCATTTACTGCAGTGGATCCTAATGTATTTCAGCTACATTGACTTTTGTCATCTGCTACATCTTTATTCATTACTTTATGCAATAAATGTGATATTATGGTGGTTTATTTTATAGTGACTGTCACATCACGTCCTGATTGTTACTGGGGGCGCAATTGCCGGACTCAGGTTAAAGCACACCATGCTATGTGAGTTGGTGTTTTTTTGTTTTGTTTTTGTTTTTAAGCTTGAATTTAAAACTATAAAAAAAAATCAGGCTCAATGGAGTAGTTCTCAAGTAGTGGGGCCTGTCTAGAACTCTGAGAAACTATTTTTGCAGCACAAACCAAAACTGCATGATTTTTCTGGTTTCTCTTCCAGAATTGAAATTTATTCCTAGGTTCATGGACCGTGGAACATCTGTTGGTCCAGTTTCAAGTGAGCCTGCTCTGATTTATGGTTCCAGGTAGAAACCACATGATATGTAGAGATTTTCTACAAACCTGAAACTCGAAGTTAGAGTTCCATCCATGTAGAAACAAAGGAAACAGGTCACACAAGCACCTGTGATATGAAATAGCCAAGTTTGGCGCACTTTTGATCCTGACTTCCCAAGCCTAGTCATCGCTTCCCACTGAATCAGACTTTCTAAGTTCTTTGTGCCTGGGCTGTCCTCAGATGCACTACATAAACCCTATTCTGGTCCCTATTTTGAAGTCCCATGGGATTCCAAGGATACTGGGATGCATCTGAGGACAAGATTACTCTTTGTTGAAAGTGGTTATCTGACATTTCCCTGTTCGAAACTGGTTGAGAACCTGTAGCTTTAGGAGTCTGATGTGGCCTGCCATTCCTTGTCGCCAGAGTGGTTCCAAGAGTTTCATTCCCTGGATTAGTTCAGCTTGGGCTCCTAGTGAAAATAAAGAACTAAGCTTGAAGAGAGGAGGAGGATCCTTCGCTTTTCAAGTGTATAACAATTCTAGGGAGTATAGACTCCAAATCCACGTGTGAAAGACAGACCTATGCAGCTGCCAGTGGGTGATTTGCATAAGACTGCATGTGTGATATATTTAAAAAGAAGGGTTTGATTCCTTTAAACACTAGGCAGCTGGGTGGGAATTTCTTGGTCCTATCTTCTTTTGTTAGAAAAAGAGACTCCAGTCAGTTAGTTAGCGGAGGACAGTCTCAGGCTTCTCAAGGTACGTGATCATGCACGAAAACTAACTAGAAGTTAGAAATGCCTATCTATAGAATTAAAAAGATCTGTTTTCCCCACAAAGGGCTGGATTCAGACCTAGCATAAACCAGTGTAGCTCCACTCTATTCAGAGGAGTTGCACTCACTCCAAGCCTAAATTTGGCCAAAAGTTAAAGGACTTAACAGCTTGCTTAGCTCAGAATTGATTGACTCCATTAAGCAGGCTGAGGGTAGGCAGAAATACTGTTCCTCACTTGATGAATAATGATCCATGTTCTCAGTGCCTAAAGAGGAGCTGTCACTTTCCTTCTATTGAGAGATTGCTTTAATGAGCGGAAGGTCCTGCTCGATCTACCTAATTCTCTGAGAAGACTATGAAGTTATCATAATTTTCCTTTAATTCAGACTACTGTGGTCTGAAAATCATCCATCTGTGCAGCTTATACAGCCAGATCATTAGAAAGATATTAAAAAATATTCATCTGCCAATCTCTTCCAAGGGTAAAGATTTTGCAGAATAAACTCCACAAACTAATTTTCTTTCTCTTTCTCATAGATTTAGTTTAGGTGCTTTGATGTACATCTGCGAGAGTTATCTGTAGCACTGGACTGCATTGTTGTTGCTAGGGGGCATTTTGATGTGCTTGGGAGCTGATGCAGTGTCAAAACAACTGCCAAACTTTCCTATTCAGATTGAAGTTGGGTTTTTTGTATCCCTCTGGAATAGGAATTGAAGGAAGCTTTAGTGATAATTCAGTGCTCTTTCTTCAAGCATTAGCTGTACACAGAACTTTGGACAAGCTTCTAGTTCCAGAAACCCATGAAACAAAACAGTCCTGACACACCACTTTTACATCATACATCACCTTCTGCATGAGGCAGAGCTAGTCTGCTAACTGGTGTGGGTTTGAGACCAGATTCTTATTAAATAAGAGGGCTGAGAGCCTCAGGCCTTCTACTCATCTCCTGCAAACATCTACACGCTCAACTCTCAACTTGTGCCTTAAATACATGTTGGGGCACTGAACCCATCAGGGAGAACACAAGAACAGACAAGTACTTGACAGTAAGAAAGTAGTACATTTATAGAATTCTGTGTTACCTGTCTAATCCAGGATGATCAGTGTGCCACTTCCATGGGACCCAAGTCACTTGGGAAGATGCATCCTTCCTCCCTAAAGTGGGAAAGTTTTCCATTCTCCTTTATTTCCAGAAAGAGATTCCAAACTCATCTTGGATCTCAGAAATCAAAGAATGTTTATGTTGAAATTTTATTTATTAGCCAGGTTAATATGTCCTGAAGGTTGTCTAACAACTTCAGTTCCCAGTGAGACTCCTAATGCTGACTGCTGAAAATTACCAGTGTCTGTCAGGGCAAGATTACTTCTGCTAATGTGTCCTCTCTTAATTGATTCCTAGATTTATAGTATGCAGTGGTAGAGAGGAATGCAGTTAACAGGTTTTCAGAGTACATAATGTAATTAACAGTTGTTGGGTAGTAGAAATACTGAGAATTCTATTATGAAAAACTTTATGGAGGATAGGAGTCAGCCTAAAATAACAGGCCTCAATGTCTTCAGGTTCTGATAGCATTAACATGTATATGTGCTGCTTTAAACTTTTGTTTGACTTTAAAATATCCTAAGGCAGGTTTGACTCTTTCATGGTGGTGTACTTCTGAGAGCAATTTTAAACTTTTTTGTTTCTATTTCAGGAAATTCAATCACATTTGTGAACAAACACGTTTCAAGAACTGAACTTTCTGAAATTGAAGCTGTCTGAATATTTGTAGTCTTTAGAGGGGATGAAAGCCCGAAATACTGATCACATAGGAAATGTTTTCAGGGGATTTTCATTATTCCCTCACAGCAGGGAGTCAATAACTTTTTCATCAGGTACTCTGGTGTGACCTTTTTAATTTGTAGAGTTTAACAGTTATATGTGAGTAAGCGAGAACCTTTTGAAAGAAAATCTGACCAGCATTGCATTCCATCCTCATTATTACAGTGTTACTATTTCACTATACTTAAATCAAGTAATAGCAGCCATACATTGGAGGTCCTAACAGTAATCAGTAAGGAGTGTATTTGCACTAAATGTGTCTGAAAATAAGAGAAACCTTTAGATTAAAATGGAAATGCTCTGTACCGGTAACTTAATATCAAAGGAGGAAACTCAGCACATGTTCAGACTTGTCCACTGCTATCTTGTCATTAGCATTGCAGTTGGGATGGAAATCTATTAAAGTTCACTTTCACAAAACAGGAAGGTGATCTGGTATATGTTCATCAGAATGGTTTTTTGTTAATTTTTTCCCCCTATTCAATAAACAAAGAACAGCTTCAGCTTACAGCTCCAAATCAGAACAGTGCTTTGCAGGAACGCTATAAAGGAAAACATTTTTTTTTTAGTTTAGTAATATTGATGTTTTTTTACCATTAGAATTAAATAACTCAAACAGTTGCACAAATATTTACAAATCAGACTCAAATTTGGGATAGTAATTGCTTATGAAGAAGCTTCTGCTTTTAATAACTGTTTAGCAATTTTATATCAAATTAAACCATTATTGACATAGGAAGACAAGTTGGTGCAATTTTTTAAATGTATTTTTTGGTGTGATGTTGTACGCTAGCTAGGCATGTAGTTTTTATTTTGCAGCTGTGCTCTAGCGTGTGCACATCGGTAAAAGCATAGAAAAGCTGCCACTTCAACAGAATATAACAGATTTACAAGAAAGAACAAATGTTACCTATGAAAAGGTCCACCACAGATGAACTTTAGCAATATGGAGAAATTCTTTTGATGTGGGAGAGATTTAAGGGGAACACTAGTGTCTCTAACATGTTGAGTATGTAGACTTAATTTTTCACTCATCTGTTTTTTGCTTAATTATGTTCAGAACATTTCCTGAGCATCATAAAAATGTCATAAATATTTCCTAGTCATCTGGCAACTAATGTTCACATGCTTGACTTGGACCAGCTTTTCATAAGTATCATGCCCAGGAGAGCAAAGTAGAATGGGAAGAAAGAGTACAAAGTTACCTCTGTATATATCATGTTTTACGTATGCCTTCTTTTGCAAGCAAGATTTATACTTCAACATAAAAAAAAACACTCTATGCTATGTGTTATAGTGCAGCACAGGATGATGTAGCACATTGTATCTGTTAGTCAATTAATTAAAAAAATACAATACTGCACATGTTAATATAAATGCTAATTAAAAATAATAGATTTCTGTTCATATTTTAATTTTAAAAGTAGCTGCAGCAGTGATGAGTCTGTTGATAATGTCCATAATGCTGTTAAAAGTACACTTGGGTGTGGACTTCTCTTCCTAATCTCTGGGCATTTCCTCCTGTGAGTAGGGTTGAAATCAGATCTGGAATAATACTTGAAACTTAACAAAACTTTCTGTCTACCTTTTACTATTACTAACAATGTTCTGTTGCATCTGTATTCGTATTTTATGTTTAGAAAGATTGATTTTTTTAATGGTTATTATATCTTCTCAGGACAGCCATTCCCAGCTGTTTGGTCTCAATTTCAACTCTGGCTGTGCATGTAAGCAAATTACATGTATTTGTGGAAAGAGAGCCTTTGCACATTACATGTAGAAATGTGATTTGCCTTCTCGCTCACTAGTTTCCATGCCCCACATTGGCTTTTAGCATAGACTTATCACTATGCTAATGTTCAAGTCCCAAATGTGCTGAATTTTTTGTGGAGTAAGAATAACGTCTACAACCCTATGTACAACTTCTCTTGCACCTGCACAAGCTGTTGGGACATATGTGACATGTCAAAAATCTACAACAATCTCAAGTACTTGACATCCAAACTACCTGTATAGTAGAGGTTCCTTATATACCTTTTATGTACCCCTCTCTTCCCCCCTCCCCAATAGAGAATAAATATGCCTTTCTATGCATAGGGGGTTGAAGTAGTGCAATGGAATGAGAAGTTTTTTGTGATTATATTGTACTTGGAAGAGCTGAGAGATTAACTTGCAAATGGGGAGGGTGAATAAATCCTGATCTTTATATGCTCTTAAGTAACTAAGAGCATCTGTCATGGGTATTACATACTCTTATACATTAGTCCTTTTAAAATGTATGGTTGCCAGGTGATATTTAGATAATGTGATAACTGTATAAACTATACTTGGTGTAATTGTTTAAATACTGTAAAGGTGCACCATATTTTTAACCTGTCTAAAGCATACTCCCACCCTCTTTATAAGAGACATTTGGGAGCTGAGCATGGAACCTTGTAGAATAGATGTTGTGAAAACAAGGGTGATTATGATAGGGTTTAATGTAGTGGTGAATAAGATACAGTCTCCTTCTGTGAGAAGGTTCTTTTATAAAGAAGGTGGAATGCAGTTCTTCCAATTCTTTTTGTGATTTCCTGGACTAAAAAGTTATTAAAAAAATTACCCACTGAAGCTGTCTGTTTCCATTTAATCTGTGCTGTTCAATCTCTCCTCACCACAAACTGTGCATAGATGATATTGTACACATCACCTTCTAATGTTCAGTCGTATTGCTGTGATCACTGTCATTCTAAAACTGCTGACCGTACTAGAATAAGGTTTAACAGCAGGCTACAGAAAATGAATATTGCAGTGTTAAAAGCCAGTCTAGATAGTCTAGTTTATACGTACACATGAAAAGATTCTGAATGGCTACTACAGATGGAGAAGTTAAGTCTGCTGTAGAAAGTTGCATACTTACCAACTTGGAAAAACTTTTATTCACACCAGACTTCATTTGACTATTTGGTGAAAATAGTAAAGCCAGTCAAACTTGTTATAGTTTCAAGTCTTTATGAGTTAGGATCTTAGCATTTCTGAATTCTTACAGTTCTCACACTAAGATGGAAATTGAAATCCTTTAATATTGTAGCTAATCCTTACTGCTGTTTTTTAAGCCAGCTGTCATTCATTCTTCAAACTAAATTGAAAAAACATTAAAACCCAAACTTTAAGCAATATAAAGTGAAAGTATAATCCTGCTCTGTGAGCTGTAAGAACAAGGGACTTGTAGACCTTCAGACCTGTAACTGCTTTGGATGTTCTACCAGCGTTGGTGGGTTTAAGTACTGTGTACTCTATTTTAGCATAGGCTGTCTTGTATCTAACACAATTTAAAAGGAAGCAGTCAATTTTTGGTCTTTCCAGAGTGAAGTCCTGTCACTTGAACAGCTGTAGCATCATGCAAGCAGCTGTGCTTTACCCTTCTTATCCATTGTGGAGGGAGTACCTTATGAAGTGGAGTGAAAGAAAAGAGCAGCGTTAAATTTTAGGTTTTACAGTGTTCACATCTGTCCACGAAGCACTTACAGTCATTGTTACTCTTGGTCATCCTTACTGTGGGTTGGACTTCAGTCAGTGAGTGGGTAGTTTCCATTACAGTTCTCTGAGCCATCTAGGCCTCAGTAATTTACACCTAAGGTGAGATCGTGCTCCCCTTAAAGTCAATGAGGTTGGTCTTTGGCTATGAGTAATAAATAGTGAGATGGCTATACTAGTAAAAACACACACTGTAATTGTTAGTGCAGTAGTTTTCAACTTTTAAATGGAGGCTTTAGTTTAGATGGCTTAAACTAGTCCTTTTGAATTTTTTTTCTTTTTGAAGTGGGAATTGGAGGGGTTCACTCTGTGAGAAGAGGATCACCACCAAACCACAATCAAACCTTTTATTTATGCTTCCTGACAAAACTTTTCTGGAAAGAGGTGTTATTTCATGCTGTCTGTCCTCTTGGGGGGGGGGGGGGGATATGCAGCACAGGGACTGTTTGCTTATTCCCTGCTTTCAGTATCGTTGTATTTTAGCAGTTCAGAGCATGTGCCTGGGTAGTTTCCCCACTTTTTTTGCCTGAGTTATTTTCCCGCCTTTTTTGTCTGACAGCCTTTCTGTATCAAGTTTGGGAACAGAGGCCCCAATTACAATGTCAGGGACCAGCTTCTGAAGAAAACTAACTAAGTTATTTCCTTTGGCAATGCCTAATATGCAAAGATAGTTTCTAAATCTATATTTCAGATCATCTTGCTTTTTTTTTTATGGTTGGCTGTTCTGACTTTCAATGAGGTAATTTCATCCCTAAGCTCATTAGTTGCTATAGCATTTTTTGTAATTCATTTTCTAAGGGCGCCATACGAGATTTAACATCATACATTTCCAGAAAGGCCATGAATGTTTTTTTGAAATTTTAATCTCCCGGTCAGCTATTCCTTTCAATGTTGATGTTACAACTGCTTGGATGGGTTAAGTGACTCCATTGGCTTGGGTCTCATCACCTTTCTTTCCCCTTTAATTGTTTACATTTCATCCAAACAATTCATTCTAGCTTTTTAACAAACTGTGTGAATTTATTAGAATATTTCAAATGTTTTGATAAGGCCAGACAACCATCTTGCTGCAAACTGTTTTTCTACCTCGGGCAGGGGGGAGGAAGCAAATATAAGCAACAAAATTAACATTGGTTAATTGACTGGATTTTATAAAATGACTGAAAGGAAAGTAGGTTTCTGCTAACAAACTGACTGCATCTTCCTGCCCAACCAGCTCCCTGTATTAAACATTCTACATACTAACTGTAGTGGATATAAGTATTAAATGCTTGTTTAAAACACAAATCTAAATCTTCAAGTTTAGTACAACAGTAACTGCATATTTGACCCTGCTAGGTGTTTAATTCCCTTAAACTTCTCCTTGCCATTTTAGCTACCTATGAGTAGTTGATTGCTTCTGAAGAAAACCAGTGCCCTGCAACCTGGTTCTGCTATATGGTGGTAGGGTCGCTTCAAAGAACTGATGCTAGCTTGCTCTTACTACCAATGAGCAAAACCGGGCCCATGCCTTCTTTTGAAATCCTGTTACTACCAATTAGCTAACATTGTGGGTGAGGGGGAAAGGTGGAAGGAATACCTCAGTCTCATTATGAACTACCATCTTATTGCGTTTCTGATACGGACACTATAGCTATAACACAGCCCAAAGATATTTCTAATCAAATATAAAGTGAAATATAGAAAGGCTTTCATATCCAGTTTTACACACTACAGTAGAATCCCCAAGTTATGAAATCAGTGTTATGAACTGAACAGTCAACCCCACACCTCATTTTGAACCGGAAGCACACAATCAGGCAGCAGCAGAGACCCCCCCCCCAAAAAAAGGAAATGCAGTTCAGTACTGTGTTAAATGAAAACTACTAAAAACAAGGGGGACGGGATTGACAAAGTAAGGAAACTTTCGGTGCTTGTTTCATTTAAATTAAGATGGTTAAAAGCAGCATTTTTCTTCAGCATAGTAAAGTTTCAAAGCTGTATTAAGTCAATGTTCAGTTGTAAACTTTTGAAAGCACAACCATAATGTTTTGTTCAGAGTTATGAACATTTCAGAGTTATGAACATTCTCCATTCCTGAGGTGTTCGGAACTGAGGTTCTATTGTGCTTTTCAAGGTTTTAGATTCATAATCTCTTGATACTTTTTTCCATAAAAATTGTTAAATTACTTCCCTCTTCCTGTTAGCGGCTTTTAACCTACTGTACCTAAGAAGAGTTCTATATAAATAAGAACATTAATTACAACTGCAAACTGATGAGCTTGTTTTAAAAGTAAAATGGGTGACGGGACAGGTTTAAATACAATAGTTGAGTGCGTTTTTGAACCCTGGCCTTTTTTTAAAATATAGGACTTTAATGCACTTTTAAAAGAATTTCTTACAAAAGCATTATTAATTTTCTTTTCTTTTTTTTTCCTGTCTTGCCTAGCTGTGCTGTATGCTGTTAGTTTGCTCAGCTGAGTGAGAGTTTGGATGCTTCTGGTGTTTTGTGTCTAGTCTGATACACTTTCAGATACCATGCTGATGGGTGCGGCATAAGAATATGAATAGAACAGGCAGCTTTGCAAAGCAGACATAAATGCTTTTGGAATAGGCTAGCTGTAGCTATGTCAGAGGTAATCTACCATAATGGTCTGGAAGCCAGTTTTTGGGGCAGGCACCTTTGTTTTAGCCCGCCTCTGCCACTTCCTTGTCCTTGCTGAGCCTCGGTTTCCTCATTTACAAAGTGGAGTAACATCTGTCTAAGTGAGGTGTCAAAGACTAATTTTTTTTAGAGTTGGTAAGAGGAAGGGCCAAGTTATGTATATCGTACACAAACTCTTCAGTCTGTGTTCCATGGAGACTTTTGTCTTTTACTAATCCTAGTTCATAGGTACAGCGGAGAACACTATACAACTTTCCTCCACCAGCAGCATGCATACTTTTCTAGTTAAGTGCTACCCCTGTGATGTTCAAATAGTTTTTCAACAGAAACATGTGGGAATGTTGCCTGGGGGAAATCCTACAGTCCAATAACAGTGGGCTTGGTTTTTAGTAGGAAAGCAAAGATGCAGCCATTCTTTTGAAACCAAGTTTAATATAAGAATCTGTATATTGTGGAACTGTTTCCTATTCTAGCTTTTTTTTCTATGTCCCACTGTAATAGGGTGTCCGGCACTTCTAAAGTTTGCAGCAGCAGCTACAGCTAGTCTGAAAATAAATATATATTCAAACTTGTATCACAATCTTCAAGAAAGGGAAAGTCTAGTATGCATACTGTCCATGCTGGAGACCTGCCCTGCATCCCACCCGAGTCTGTTCCCAGGCGGTTAGTGGCTGTGTACAGGGGCGGCTCTATGTGTTTTGCCACCCCAAGCACGGCAGTCAGGCAGGCTTTGGCAGCATGCCTGCGGGAGGTCTGCTGGTAACACAGATTCGGCGGCATGCCTGCGGGAGGTCCGCCGG